CAGTGTTGCTGGAAAATGGCCACCCTGCACTGGCCCAAAAGGCCTATAGAAAGAATGACACTATCTTTGTCTCCATGGAAGCAATTCGAAGTATCTGCGATGGAAACTCTGCCTGCCTATCTCTGTATGATCTAGAGAAGGCTTTTGACTCGACAGAACACCCTATTCTTCTGCGTTCCCTGTTCCAAGCTGGTGTGAATGGGAAATCTTGGAGACTCGTCAGGTCCTGGTACAACAATCTCTCTGTAGTAGTCAGGACTGGGTCAACATCTATTCCTGTACTCCGCGGGGTGCAGCAAGGTTCTGTCCTGCCACCTTCCTTTTTTAGTCATCATGGATGAGCTTCTTGAACGACTGAGTTCAAAAGGTTACGGTGCATCCATCTGTCATCTGTACCTAGGTGGAGCTGCCCATGCTGACGATGTGAGAGCCATTGCATCCTCGACATCTGTTGCTGAGGCCTAGGGTGTCATTATCTCTGACCTCTCATCTCAGCATGGCTTTCGCCTTAGTAGGGCTAACACAGAAATTGTTAAAGTTCCCAGTCTAGATCTACTCCCGAGCATCTTTCACTCATCGACTCCAATGTCCCTACATTACCCCTGGCTAATTGCCTAGGTTTTCTGTGGTCTAGTACACTATCAGCAAAACCTGGCATTGAACACAACATCAACAAAGCAAGGAAGCAATTCTTCGCTCATGGCTCATCTGGTTGCTTTCTGGGATACTCTAACCCTCTTTCAGCAATGGAGTCTTGTGTCATCCCCACTTTGCTGTATGGTGCTCAAAACTGGATCATTGATCTAAACCTTCTAGAGTGATTTCAAGCTGAGTTGGGTAGAATATTCATCAAACTTTCAAAGTACTACTCAATGCTGTAAACTTTAATCGGGCTCTCCTGGCCAACTATGAAGGCAAGGCTCCTGTCCCAGAGGCTACGCTTCCTGGGAAAACTACTCTCACATGATAGAGATAACATTGCTACCAGAACCTTCCGAACGATTGCCTCCCACAACATCTACAACATCTCCATTGTTGAGCAATGCATCTACTTAGACTCCACTCTCGGTACACACTGGCATAGGTCCTCAGCGGGAGGAAAAATTATGACGAGTTTCATACAAAAAATAGCACTCTTTTTGCCACTTCAAACAGCACACTGGGGAAGTCCACACATCTTGTGACAAAGTCGGTGCTTACGTTTAGGTGGGAGTCACATAGCTAAGTGGTCCAGAAAGGAGTAGTTCAGATCAATATGATCACCACAGAGTGTACAGGATCGTGTAACGAAGACTGGGGTACTCATTGCTTTCTTTGTATTAACTTTGTCCCCCTTGCACCTTTATCTAGTGCATGATCCCATATCTTCCGCCAGGATGTAGTGCTGACGATATCACAGATGTGCTTAGCAGATTGGTGATTTCTGGCAGACACGAGTAGGGATTCAAAGTCCTGCTTGAGGCAATGTTCCTTCACAGTTCTAGGAGCATCAAGAGGACTACTTAGACATTGTGCGAGAACGGATGCTCCCAGAGGATCTTCGAGCAGTTTGCACTGCTGTACAACGCTGGTCTGGTAGATGTGTTCAATTGCCAGGGAACTAAACAACTTTGCACTTAGTTGGTATCAGATGTCATATATAAAAGCTTTGCGAGATGAGTTAGCTTGCGGATCAGACTACGTAATGCCACTGAAGGCCATTGCAGGCCAACTCGAACAGCATTGTTTGGATGATGGGGTGGCAGACAGAGTATGCATTTCCCGATTTCGGCTTGAAAGTTAAACTGTCAAACAACTTATGCCCAATTTCCTTCTCTCCCTCTCAAAGTTTATCCTACTTAGAAGCTAGCAAAGTGAAAAGTGATGCTTCTTTGCTATAAGATATTCAGTAGGAAAGCTATTGTTGGGATTTTGCCAAGCTACAGGAAACACATAGAGGAAGGAGTAGTATTCCAGTCCTCTTGTTCAGTTGAAGAGAACCTCTGACAGAATGAGAAGTGGACCACAGTTGTAGGAGACTATCTGGGATAATGGCTTCCTGGAAGACAGCAATCAGGACCAGCTAACAGCCCACACACAGGGGCAATTGTGACTCTTTGTGGGGCCCAGTTAGAGAATTCAGAATCCTTTGGAACATCTTGGTCTGTGTACAAAGTTGGCATGCATTATGGAGTTACTAATTTCTTCCCTGTCCGGCCTGCAACTTCGTCAGACAAACTCTAAATGAGACCTGCCCACACCAGTGCACGCCATCTGATACATTAACTGCATGTTTCAGACACAGGTAATCTGTTGGCAGATTACTATTTAAAGCTCTTGAAATAGGTCTTGTTCCAAGTCGAGAACAGTATTTATTAATTGGTCACTATAAATATTAATGCTGGAGGGTCGGCCACTCACATGCAGTACTCAGCCTAATTTAGGGTAGAATAACAAAAAAGGTGCTTGTTTCTGCCCTCTAAAAGGTCAATAATTATTACCATGTGTGTGTGTGTGAGCAATTTCACTCTCCAGTGGGTTAATTCCCAAAAAGGATGCCAGTATACATTGATTTGGTGAATACTTTAAATTTCAGGAACACCTTATGATGCATGAATGCCAACAGAGGTGTAGGTGTAACATAGCAGTAATGGATGAGTAAGCAGCTATGAAGCAAAGTCGACATCTTCATAAACACCACTATTGTCCAACTGAGGTGGGCCAACATCGACTGAAGTCTCGTTGTCTTTCACTTCTGTGTTTCTGTTCACCACTATTAATTGTGCATCCATTGGAGTATCATACCCACGTCCTCCTTTTGTACTTGGCACAGTCTGTGTGTCAACTGAAGTATCATACCCCGTCTCTCCTGTTACCGCATTCTTGCAACTTAGCTGGGTCTGTGTATGCAGAGGAGCGTCATATCCAATCTCTACTACTGATGTATTCCCTTCTACTGGTCCACTGGTGTCCAGAGGTGTTTCATATATCAGGTCTTCTGGATTTTCATGTTCTGAGCCGTTCTGAGATGAACTGGGGCTGCTCTGGGGAATTTCATATTTCTCAGGCTCTCTATGTCTGACAGACCTGATGAATTCATAGTCGTGTTCCTCTCTTGAAACTTTCGGATCTATTTCACTTACATCCTCGTATATCGGGGTGCTGGCATAGTTGTTTATGCTTTTAACTCGTGTCAATTTATAACTTGGGTCTTCTGCATCTTTCTCAACCGTGCTGGTTTTTTCAGGTGATGACCTCTTGTGTCTAACAACTAGTAATATCACAATGAGGAACACCAATGCTGCAATCACCAGGATGGTGACGGCGGTCACAATCATCCCCACAACCACTGGTGGTACATTGTCAGACTTCGGACGAGAACGTTCTTTAGATGGTGGGCTCTCAGATGTCGCAGTGAGAGAGTTAGTGACTGGTAAGAATGGTGTTGATGGTTCAGGAGATGGTTGGTCATCAGTCTGGACTGAGGTTGACGCTGGCTGCTGAGTAGTAGGGGCTTCTTCTGTGGTTGTTGTTTGTGAAGGTTCATCTGTGTTACAATACCTTATGTTAATTAATTAGCTATAAATATCGTTATGCTTACCTGCAATGATGGGAGTGATGAGAGGAGTTATTCCAGAAGATAGTAGTGCTTTGTACTGCTGCAGTATTGAATATAGTAGCTGCAGACAGAATTCCTTTGCTGTAACCTGTTAAGTTTCCACTTAGCAAAAACATAACATTAGATTTTGGTACAGTCTCGCTGGGTGATCTGGTTAGAAAGCCTAGTACAGTTCCAACATCAACTACTATTGGAGTTTTCAGAGTACAGCTGTAGACAAACTGAGATACACTTGTTGGGTCTGTAAAACTGTCAGTTGTCAAAGACGCACGAAATATGAAGTCAGTGGTGATGCTAGTAGTGGCAGTGAAATTATCCCACAACTGCAGAGTTGGACACACAACATCCTCGGATGTCTCTGTGAATATCCATCCAGTGAGGTTGACCGTACAGGAGAACTGAAGACTGGGGAATATCCATTGCCTGTCAGCTTCTGCTGGCTGCATATCAGTTTGCTCAACTGCCTGTAAATCTTCCAGACTGAGCAATCCTGGGATGCAGGCCTCACCTGCAGGGCACGCACGTATTACAGTGTGCACAAGATAACTATATGCAGTTACAGTTCTAACTGGATTTGCTAGTACCATATATACACATCTGCATTATTTCCTCAACCCATTCTTGCATGTGCTTTACAAGGCAGCAGTTACACAGTTATGCAAGAAAGATGTGGAGTGTGGTGCTCACCAGTTTGAATAGTCCAGGGTAGCAATAGTGAGACAAGACACCTAACAGTCACAGACTCCATAAACTCAACTTGCTCTTGTGCAGTCTTTAGAAGGTTATAGCTACTGACGGAATGCACTAGCTTGTGTGTTTCATTGCACTTCCCTACTCAAGATCATATGTCACAAATTCCTTATGTGGAAACCCACATCCGTACACTACACTGCACTTCCTTTCCACTATGGCAGTTGCTAAGTGACACTATCTACAGTATGTACATAATATTTGGCAACAACATGAGCCACTTACATGACTAAGGTCAAAGGGGTCTACATAAGCACAGTATGACTATATATACTTTCAGTCTCTTTGACGTGTGTGTGTGGGCAGAGGTTTGTGTACTCCTGCTCTGTGTTGTGATTATGAACTTTACAAACACACATTGGCCATGTTCATACACACCTTATCTCCTTTCAGAGCTCTGGGTAATGTGATAGAGTGTCAGTCATGTGTGCAATGCATTGCTGCCATCATGTGGCCTAACTGGCTAATTACTCAAAGACACCATACAAGGTTTCCTGGTATTAGTCTGAATCAGAGTGGCTCCAGCTCTGCAGTATACTACATTATAGTTTCTGACCACAACCTAGTCTATCCTGCTCCTATTTCTCTTACTCCTGTTTGTGGTAGAGTAAAAAGATCAAAACCATTGCTTGTTTTCAACTGCCATGATTACTCCAGACTAGCTAAAGAGCTCTTTAATAATAGAGCAAATGCATAGGATTTTTGGCAAGTGAACACAAGTGAGAAATTTTAGTACTTACACACGTATTATAGTTGTATACAACTAGCGCATGGTCCAGCCTGCCATCAGGGATGGTCGATGATGAATCAATTGATTATTTATTCTCTTCGGGATCCCTGAAAAAGAATAATGCTTTTGGAATACGGTCTCTGCCAAGAATAAGGGTTCTTCTGCTTGTCTCTAAGTAGATCTAATGGTGACAGTATCAGACAGATACAATAAAGGCAACTAGATTGGCTTGCATTGTTTCGCAAAACATCAAACAATATTCCTCAGTTGAAGTGGGCAGGCAGAACTCGGCACTGCTATGGACATGGTCGGTAATGTTACTGATCTGCCATGCTGCAGGACCAAAGAAAGGTGTATGTAGCTAGTTGTGATAAGCTACGTTATCAACCTTCATAGCTAGATCCCATTCCAGACCTGCTCCTATAAAGACGTGTTACTATAAGCATTGAAGCAAAACATTGGCACTCCTAAGCTCTGTAACATCCTCTCTACGGTACCTTGAAATATTATGACTGAACTACTTTTGCCAGTAGTATACTTGTTGTTGGAGCCAACTGGCACACATAATCAAACAGGGTGTGTGTATGTCTCTCTGCGTCAACCTTTTCTGCCACAAGGTGGCAACAAATCAACCAGAATAACTTCTGGGCAATGAAATAACTTCTGCTGCATGCTCATGCCCATCACTATGTCCCTGCAATTAAGGAGCTAGCATGGTCAGGCAGGCACCCCCGCCACCATCTATTCCTGCAGTGGTTGGGAGTGTACTTTAGGTGTTCTGTCTATGTTTGACAGATGGTATATATATTTGAGCACAGTGGAACCTGATCAAGCTGAGTAGGGTTACAGTTTGTCACCTCCATGACCATCTCTCATCTTTATGGGACTATACTGTTGTCTCCACTGTCAAATAGAAAGGGTGTGGCTATTTTACCTAAGCTTTTGCGCATTTGGAGGCTAAAACAAAATGGTAGTGGCTGACAATGATAACTAGAGCAGGCAATTGCAAGAGTGCAATTTCTACTTGACCGTATATAGAACAAACATGAAACTGACACTTGGGTTTGGTGGGTGGCTTTATTCAGTGGAGTGGTGTTTTTAAAATTGGTCACTCAGACAGCACTATTATGCATTAATAAATATACTCTTAGTGTACTATCGAAGGCTATAGCTTGCTGATCTCGGTAAAGTCAGGGTGCAGTGTCTGGCGAAGTAGAAAGGTGTCCACTGCTCTGTCCAGGACCTCCGGCTGGCAGAGATGAACATGATGTCCTCCTGACACTCGCACTATCTTCAACTGGAGCAATGGCACAAGTTGGGCAAGTGAATAACACATTCTCGGAATTCCTATGAGTAACCTGTTTTGGTAGCATCTCAGGGGTGAGGGAGTTGTATACCCTTGTCACAAATGAATTCTCTGAACTGCATATAATAACAAAAATTGCACTGTTTAACCCACGATTAACCCCCCAAGTGGAACAGCTAAAATAAGCAGAAATTGATGTATAATGTATTAGCACCTAGTATTATAACCTCTATTATATTCTTATGGACTTATGGAGGCTCTGGACACATTTATGTGTCAGTGGCTGGTTAAGTGTGGCAAATGCAAACTGCTACATGCTTCTCTCCATCGAGGTTGTGGAGCTCTTGCCATGACGTTGTGCAAGCTTTTTCCCATCTCTTCACCTGATCTGACAGACCGCATTGACAGTATGTGGAGAGATACATCTTTAGCTGTAGTATCTCCTAGGATCCCCCTCAGGCCAACAAGGACACTGCTTAAGTAATTGTAGCATATATTGTCACTAGGGCATGACTAACATAGACTTAAGGGCTGTTCAAAGCCTGCGTCTATCCAGTCAAGCTGAGTGCAAGTGTTGAAGAATTCGAGTTGTAGTAAGCATTTGATTTACCTTTCCTACGCAATTAAACCATGTTAAGCCAATTCACCACCGAATCACTTTTTGTACTTGGTATTGGTTATTTATTAGTTCTCCACAAAAATGCCAGACAACTACTCTCACTTTAGCTGCTAACTACGGACTACACACACAGTAAACCATCACAGACCTGGTCAGAATGAACATGTTTTTGCACAAGTGACTTACACAATAAGGAGGACAGGGCACTGGACAGCTGACAAAAAAGTAGAGCTTACACATCCTGGTATTCGGAGCAGTGATGGCTGAAAAATGGTGATTATGTGACTAGTGTACACTGGTTTCACAAAATAACCCTTATGTACGTGTACAGACCTCGAAATGTGGATAGTAAGTCATGCTAAGCCTGGTGTACGAATCGGTACATAGACAAAGGCCACCAATGCTTTGTTCCAAGCAAAATGGAAGGGGGTTCTCACATGGATCACAATGCTATTCATTGTTATCCAGGACACATGTGACCAAGTGCAAAACATTTCATGTTCCCCTCAGCTGGATTTAGAAAGGTGGGGGCTCAATGACAATAATAGACAGCATTTGAAGTGACTTGCACTAACTAGTGTAGTAAACTGATCTCTAATTATGTCATTTGGATTGCAAGTATAGGTTGCACTCACAGCTTTGAGCATGAGGTCTCTAGTGAACTGGTAGCTGCCACTGGGTAGTTTGTTGGAGCCTCTGGCAGAAAGAGTGGCTGCTGCCTCTCTAGTGAAGCTAGGGTCCATCGCCTGGTGACCCTCCAACATCCTGCGTACATGTATGCAAACACTACAAGTAGAATTGGAACAATGCATATGCAATGTAGTTGAAGGCACCAGTGCAGGCTAATAACACACATTGAATATAATAGCCTTACCCTACCCTCAAAAATGAGGAAGAGAACTTGTTCTTGTTACCGAAGTAAACTTATACCAACATCTATTATATTTTATAGCAACTGAAATATTGACACTGCTTTGGCGTCTCTCTCCCATACCCTAGACTCCTGCGCTGGCCTGACCTTGGAGTACTGGAAGCTTTAGCTCGTTCAGATCAACAAACTTGAACTGATGTCCATATTATACTGGCGCAGATTTGATTTTGCATGGGTCTATGTTTTACTGATTTTTTGGAGAGTGGGGTCAGGCCAGGCTATTCCAAAATACACCTTACAAAAATGTAGTTTTGCACAGGGGAGGACAGACTAGCTATGCACTCCATACCCCGGCATATACATACAACAAACCTGTCAACCAGTTCATCCCAGGTGGAATAGACCTTTGTGTCCACTGTATTACTGAGTGAACCCAGACATTTTAACATCTTGCCCATACGTTCTGGCAAGTCTTCCTGGATATGTTAAAGAGATGGGAGTCAAACTTGCACAATTGTGCAAGTTACGTACAACTAATATTGACATTCAAATTCAACACTGTGTAATACTATAAACACAAGGAACCAAATAGGGCTCAAAGATGTAAGGCTCAAAAAGGCATACTCCCAGTAGCTTCAATTGTGATGCAAGGGTACTCTGGATTTAAGATTGAGTCCCTATTCCTGACAATCTGTGCTGTATTACAATGATACCTGGATGCAGACGCATACAACTGACAGTGTGAACATGCCTATCACCAAGAGTTGATGAGAAGGATTCCTTTCTATGGTGCACCAACCTGTGTCATACACTTTGTACATATTTGTATACAACTGTCACTAAACATTAAGAAATCTCCCACCAGCTTAAAACAACATACTCAAATTTGCTCACAATGCATTCGCTCTAGTATTAAAATTTACCAGTGGTGCAGACACAAATCCAAATCCTTCTATGAGGACAAGACTTTCAACCATCTCTGGTAGAGCTGCAGTGAACTAAGACAAAAGCATCATAGCACAGTCATTGGTGGTTTAATTACCCCGGTCTACTCCTACTGTACTGAGTGAGAGTATACTGCGCCATAGCACAGGTTTGCTTTGTGTTGTGTGTTGTGTTGTAGATTCGAACCCCTACTAGCTGAGTTGCCCTTGTAGCTCGTCTAGACTGTAGAGTGTCGTGGGTTTAAATCCCACCTAAGGCAGCTCTTCTTTTTCCTTGGAAAAAAAGAGCTGTCCTTGGTGTTGTTGATTTGTTTGTTGTGTCTTTGCCTTTTTACCTCGTACTTTTCACATAGCATACGACTGTGCTTGCTCTCACCCATGAAGAGACTCCTGTGCCTATTTGCAGCAGATAAGAAGAAGTAACAAGCACAATTACAGTAATTTAGAAGCTCCTTACTCATTGAATGAGCCAGAAAAGAGAACTTGTCCCATTTCAGTGCTGTGGGTTGTTTGTACATTAATACACTTTCATACACAAACTGGTCTCATTTTGCAGGTAAGTGATCTTGTATGAAGGTCAACTGTGACCACTAGATGTGGGTCTCTCACCATCAATGACATACTTGACATCAGCAATGTAGTCCTGGACATGGTAGAGGGTTCCACGGGGTCTGTGAGAAGACTGGCCGTGTCCAGGCAGGTCTATTGCCGCCACATGCAGGGCTGAGAGAGAGAGAGAGAGGTGGCAACACTCAGGGTTACCGAATAATGGGCTGGCTAACCTGGAGAGAGACGGGGGATGAGTTTGTCGAAAGTATTGGCATTGTCTAGCCAACCTGCGTGATAGGTAAACAGTGACAACCACTGAAATAGCATACTTACAGACATGCATTTCTTTGCCTGCCACAAGAAAATTATGACATTCTTACTCTAATAATGAACATCACCTCAGTCTAGGCAGACATAAATAGAGCAGAAGTCACAATTCTTCAGAGTCAATAATGACCTTTACCAGTTTAACCGAAATGGCCAGAGTGACAGACAAAACAGTGCAATGATAATGATGTTGCTCACCATGGAGAGCTAGTACATGCTTTCCCTGAGGATCTCCCCACTCACGGCCTGCTATGTGGCCCCATGGTACTGAGAATTTCACTGAACAGAAAATGTTTTATGGGCAAAAAATTGTGGATAACACATACCATCTCTGCTAGTTTCCATTACCTGCATAGCATGACCAGCATGACTGTAGGACTCAGATATATCAACTATACTTACACGTGTACAGTAGGGGCTGATAAGGGACTGCCTCTGTATTCCTTGGAACACTCCAGCAATTAGTCGATTCATTCATCATGCATACCTAATCGCCTGCACACACGCCCCCCGACTCACGATAACTCTTTCGACACGCATAATATTTCAGTGCGAAACGGGTTAAATTGGCACCGCTGCAAATCGATTGGGATGGCAGGGCGAGGGGAACCTGTAGAGGCTCTGCCGGAGACCACCGGCGACCATAAAGTGCCCAACGGTGTCGAGGAAGAGTGGAAACCCGCCAATCTTACAGCTGAGGGAGTGAGGGAATGGCAAAAGCTCGGCTGTCTTTGCCCCGTCCACATCGGAGAGACCGTCTGCTTCTTTTGCGTGGACTGTATGCAGGCTTGCTGCACGGTGTGTGGTATGACTGACCACTACAACCACCAGAAGAAACACCGAGGAGAGGCGATCCCTGATGGTCAGTTTGGCCACACAGGGCTCTTCTTCCCACCAGATTTCATTGTCCAGGGTGTCCTCAAATCCTTGAACGAGGACCTACAGCACGTTGACATTCACACACCCAAGGCATCAGAGAGAGTAAAGCAGTGCATTTCCAGCCATCAAACTGCCCTGGCAGCACAGAAGAGAAGTCTCATCGACCACATCAATGCAGTGAAGAAGGCTCGGTTGAAATACCTCCAGAGACAGCAGAAGCACCTCCACAAGACCTTTGAAGAGCTGACGGCCACAAGGGCCCACATTCAGAAGTACACAGACTCTGACGACGACTTTAGCTTTCTTGCCTCGGAGAAGGAGACCACGCGGAGGGTTGCTGAGCTGAACGAGAGGTGTTCCAAGATGGTTCTCCCCACAGAGGAGGACTGGGGGCTGGACAAGATCAGAGTGGTTCGAAACGGGCAGTACGTTGAAGTGAACAGGGGCAGGCGACCTCCCCCTCGTCCCCCACGACCAGGGGTCAAGACCCTGCAGGACCCCACATTCAGAGCCACCTCAGTGAAGCTCCACTTTTCTTTGGAGCCCGACATGTTTGCTGCTTTTGTCAGAGCATGTTGTCAGGAACTGGGGGAGAAATACTGGCTCAGGGTGCAGTGATTGTAATGTCAAGGTGGAATTATAATATATAGTGTGTTCTCTCTATCGCATCGCATGTGCGGTATGCCGCCGGCCTTGCCTCGCATTCCGATCCAGTCAGCATCATGACGAAAGGGTTCCCTCGAAGCTGCCATTATCTAGGCAGAGCTCAGTCTGGATTAGATCTAACTGTTACGCTAGTACCAAGGAGCCCAGACATGCCTCGGGGACTACCTGCTCCACCCCAGCAGCAGCAGAATCGTCTTCTCGACCACGCCCCACTGTGGACAGGATGATTCGTGTGAACCATGCAGGGGAATTTGGCGCCAACAGAATATACGCAGGCCAAATTTCGGTGCTGGGCGACAGCAGCGTTGGATCAAGCATCAAAGTAAGTGAGTAGTCTAGTCTCATCTCACGCTGGAATATCCCTAGCTAGCGTTATTTATGTAGCACATGCAGGCCCAGGAGAGGACTCACCTGGAGCTATTCGATAATCTGATGTCGAGGAGGAGAGTGAGGCCCACTTTATTCCTGCCTCTGTGGGATGTTGCTGGATTTATTTTAGGTGCGTAGTTCAACCCGTTATAATAATAGTCTGGCTAACCAGACTCTCACGCAGTTGTGCCACTTCAATGGCTTCGATGATGCACTGTGGACGTAACCTCAGCTTGGCTAAATGGGTGCGAACAGAATATTGCGCACACACAGCACGCAACCGATTGCAAAGACTACCTGAGAGCCTTAGGGACTGACGTACACATGCGGTAGCACCCACTTATCACGGCGCTGAAAGTCGGTGCGTGAAACTAATTGACACAACTCTACTATAGCAGCTTGACCAGACCCTCCCCCCTTGCGTGAGGATCTGGCTAGCGAGAATACATTATAACTGGTGACATGTTGCCTTGCCGGTAGGAAGCTACAGGTTATACAGTTACCCTTGGTCATTTTATGCTCCAGGTGCTGGCAGTGCAGCTCTTGGCAAAGAAGCCGCAATGGCTTGTACTGTGGCAGTGGAGGAGGCTGTGGTGGAGCATTACAATAGGTTTGGCAAAAAGCACTGCAATCACACCTAACCCACTCAGGTCCTGCTCTTAGCTACAGGTCACACACTTACACACAGTGACCCAGTCTTAATTAGACATTGTGTGTAGTAGTCTGTTCTGTTTATTGTTCAGTCAATTGAGAGAGTTGATTGCTGAGGGCGGAGTTGATGAAGAATTACTCAAGGTAAGACTTCACAAGCTTTTGATGAGAGTCAAACTACATTTGTTACGTAGTGTGTAGTACTTAATGGGAGTGCTGAATTCTTTGATGCCTGTGTAAGGGAACTAATGTAGACCACAGTACCCACTGACCGTTAGTATGTTGTACGTCACCCATATCGTCACCCATCTCAGTGACGTTACGGGTTATGTGTGTGTAACCACCACTGTACCACCACTACACCACAACTACAACTAAGTCACCTACATAACTCTACTGTACTGTAAGCCAGATCACCATTTCTGGGTCACTAATATACAGTGGTAGCAGAGGATGGTTGACCGCCATGTTTCAGTGCCAAACCTCTTCGCTAGTGGAGATGCCGCAGAGTGGTTCAATCATTCGACATCTGCAGCCAAGCCAACAGCTGGAATAACATGACGACAGCCCTCAAGCTACCGACACTGCTGGAAGGGGAAGCGCTCGCTATCTGGTTGGAGTTGGGGAGCGGGAACGCACCGACTATGCGAAGCCTTCCACTCCAGCAAGTTGCGTCCCGGGGAGGCACTTTCAGTATTCGTACATGAACTAAAGAAGCTGCTGGATCAAGCTATGCCAGGATTCAATACGACCACCCGCGATCAGCTGTTACTGCACCAATTCCTGAGAGGAATTCCTAGCACAGTAAGCCGACATTTTCGAGCCACTGGGGAAATGAAGATGCTAGCCACAACCGTCTACTCTTGGCCCTGGACGAAATGGGCGCACACCAGTCTGCAGCCGTCACCCCCGCGGCGGGTGAGTTCAAGGGACTGGAGGACCAGGTGGCAGCACTAACTGAACAAGTGGCTGCGCTCGCAGCGAACAGAGATGCGACAAGCGAACACCTCTGGGCAGCCCGCCGCCGACGTTGCTTTCGGCTGTGAACAGTCGGGACACCTTCTCCGTGATTGCCCTTTCCGACCAGGCGTTACCAGAACGCGGAAGTGCTTCTCCTGTGGACAACCCGGACACATCGCGAGGAACAGCCGCGGGGCATCCATGCAGGGCAGCGGACGCACAAGGATGAAGCCCAACATAATTGTCGTAGCTGCCGTAAAGAACAAGGCAGCAACCACGGCAGGGAGTTTTGGAGGGGTCGAAGTGGAGGTGATGCTGGATTCTGGTTCGTCTGTCTCGTTAGTTCGACAAGAGGTCCTGTCACGATTGCCCAGGATGCAGCCCAGCAATTCCGGAGCTGGTGATATAAAGCTCTTAACAGCACCAGGGGAGCCCCTGCAAGTATTGGATCACGTCCAGGCATCAATAAAGATCGGAGACCTTGAACGTCCCCATGGTTTCGTGGTAGTTGAAGCCTGGTCAGCCTAGTAATTCTTGGAGTTGAGTTTTCTGCATAACAATGGACTCGCACTAGACTTCACCAGTCTACCCGTCACAAGCACATCAGCCCCAACTTGTACAAACGATGTACGCAACCTGTTTTTTTTTTTATTTATGCTGAAGAACGATATGCACGGACAAGAATTTGTGTTGTCAGCATGGTGGAACCCCCTGATGTTGACATAGTCGATGAATGTGCCGTACCCCACTTCTACAATAATACTGCATATGAATATCCACAATGTACAAACAATGGTCTGTTTGGGGAGCCTGCCACGGAGGTGTAATGGTCTTGGTAGGAACTGGCTGTTCTTCCATAGCCGGTTGTAGTCGGTGATGTAACCGGTTCACATGAACACATTTTATTCTCGGGCCATTGCTGATTTCAACTGTCAAGGGACCCTTCATCTCCCTAACCCTCCATCCCCCCCTCCCAGTGTGGGTCCAGCTTCCCAGGATGTCTGCTGCAACCATTTGCCATGGCCACCCAATTGAAGTATTGACCAGGGGGGCTTTAGTTGGCGTTACATGTTTTGCAGCTTGGTTAGAGCACCTTCGACCATAATTATCCACATCTCTTGTGATACCAACCAAGTAGGCCTCCTTCCTCAGTCGTTCCAATGTTTTTTCCATTCCCTAGTGGCCTGCCGTGGGGAGATCATGGCACTGGTAGAGAGTCTCTTGGCGTAGGCTTGGTGGCAGGACCAGGACAGGTAATTACTTCATTCTGTAAAGGGCTCGGAGTGTAGGTACGGCACAGAACACCATTACGGATTGTAAGCTGGTGCCACAACTTCCGGTAGCATTTCAAGGGGTATTTATTCCAAAGCGTTCCTGTTGGCCGTTGGTCCGTCTCCTGTACAACTTTCTGTAGTGACTTTGTATGCCTGTTGCGCCCGTCAAATTTTCACCATTTTGTGTTGGTGTGAAACCGTAGTTGCGGCACAAGGGAGCCGTGAAAGGGCATCCACATTTTTTTCTCGTTTCCTTTTTGTATGAGATCGTGAAGTCATACTCTTGTATGGCTAGTGCCCAGCGGCATAACAGCCCTTCCATTTTTTGCGCTGAAAGCCACTGCAGTGGTGCGTGGTCTGTGTACACCTTGAAATGGTGTCCCAGTAGGTAGTGGCGAAAGTGTTTCAATGCATCCAGCCATAGAAACTGACCTTAACTGCGGCTGGCATAAGCCATACGTGTCCATCTTGTTCCAAGATTGCTCCAATGCCGACTGCAATGGCGTCTGTGAGCACAACGAATGGGCTCGCATCTTTGGTGAATAGGGTTAGGGCAATGAAGGGTCCCTTGACAGTTGAAATCAGCAATGGCCCGAGAATAAAATGTGTGCATGTGAACCACGACTACAACCGGATATGGAAGAACAGCCAGTTCCTACCAAGATCATTACACCTCTGTGGCAGGCTCCCCAAATAGACCATTTGATACTACCACCGAGTCCCAGCGGTATCCCACCCGCCAATGAGTCCTCCTGATCGACACACTTGGAACAAGGGGGGCGGATGTAATGTAGACCGCAGTACCCACTGACTGTTAGTATATTGTACGTCACCCATCTCAGTGATGTTACGGGTTATGTGTGTAACCACCACTGTACCACCACTACACCACAACTACAACTAAGTCACCTATATAACTCTGCTGTACTGTAAGCCAGATCACAATTTCTGGGTCGCTACACCTGTAAGAATCCCTGAGAAAGGCAATTGAAGAGTGGTTGTTTCTTGCTCTGAGTGCCTATTATTAGTGTTACATAGAGCTGCCTTTCATGAGGCATTCGAGACACAGACATGTAGCATGTGGGTGCTGTTTTATGCCTTGTGCTTGCTTGAGGACTATAGACAAGAGTCGATAATAGGGTACTAGCGCAGTGTTGCCAGTAATCTTTGTTCTTTAAAGTATATGGCTCGCCTTTATGTGTGGCCTTCGCGCCTACTTCAGTGTGGGGAGCGGTTTGTGTTCATTCTCAGACAGTTAGCTATGAATTGTATATATACTGTTGACTCTTCTCCCATACATTAAGGCAGTAACCTCTGTACTGAAATGGTAAACAATTATTAACCCGCAGTGCGCATGCGCCTGGGGTTATGCTACTTTGTTCGTAAGTCTCTCTGTCAGCGTCTGTCTGTCTGTGCGATCTGCTTAATCTCGCATTGCGCGCTATGACACACGCAACAAAGGACACTACATTATTGAGTATGACTAGTAGGCGAATGCATGGCATTTTTGGCGAGCGGGAGCGAGCACACAATGACTCTATCTGCACGAGCCATCCTACAACTTGAACCTTAGAATCACGAAGATTGGAAGGAGGTATAGACAGCCTCGGTCAGGTATCGAAGAGCGCAGCGAATGCCAGTAAATAGACGAGAGTTGTTAGGCTGGCTATATTTCGCATCGATATGACAGCTAGGCAGCGTGTAAAAATTTGCGCGTTCCCTATCACGAAAGCGACGCTGATACAAACGAGCCTCTCTGCTCAGGAGTGTCACGGGCACGATGTTCTCTTTCCCACTCTCTTCGACGACGAAGGGCATCTTCCCCGGACTATATGCACATGTATACGCACGACAGGCAGGCAGCATGTGAAATTTTGGAATCCTTTCAGATAAAAAGGAGCGCGTAATCCTGGAGCATGCGCAGTTGGACGACGTACGGTCGTAGAATAGAAAACCGCGCCGTTCGTACCACTAGGTTAGCTCACTCCCGCTCGCCAATGAGGAAAACAAAATAAAAAACCATTTTCTCTAAAACCACTAACCTAAAAAGTTAGAGCGTGTTTACAGCGGCCAGGTCCGCCATTCTGTTTCTTTTTCACGACTAACACGCACATACGTTTTGTGATACTATGCGCACGAGGACACTGTAGGATTTGAGCCTGTAACTGCACTATTTTGGCCTAACGGTACAACCGTTCTTCGACAATGCCACTGCCATAGGTACTGTGAGTTGGTTTCTTGCAGGCACCACTTTTTACACAACCTTCTTATGTCCTCATTTTCATTAAAGTTCAAAGTTCAAAAGTCATGATAGCCCCAGAGGAGATTTACATACAAAAATACACATGGCATGACAAACAGCAGCATTATACAATACATAACATTTATGTGGGAAGGATGGAGGATAGACTGTACCCAGTTTTAAGTAAGTCTGGTGAGGCAGATATGATGGATGCCATTATCTCCTCTATTGAACACAGCTTCAATTCTTTGTGATGATATATCAGATGTTCGATATATGTAGTGCCTTTCGCTATCGACATTTCGCAGCGAGGGCATGTTCTATCCCCAAACAGTGGTTGGGAGAGAGTTCGGAAGAGAGAGAGAGCAGATTTTGACCCCTTCACCCCATAATCTAAGGCTGTATCCCAGATCTTGAGCCATGATAGCTCCGAGTGAATGGAAGATAGATGTTTTTTAGAGACTGGTGAGTTTTTGCGCAATTTGCTCTAAGTTCCTTGTCAGTAGTCAGAATGTTCTTTTGAATGCTGCCCCAGGAATCTGCCGATGTCAAACTTCTCCGGTGAAGTTGGTCTCATAAACGGTTTCAAGATAACGACATTGTTCGGTGATTGTCAGCTGTGAGACATCCTTGCTGGCAAAGGCGTGAAGTATTTCTGTACTTAACTTTGCTTCCCCTTCCCCGACCAGCTTTCTCATAAAATGAGCAACCTGGCCCTCATACTTGGCCAGTCCAGGCCGATCAGTACAGATATGTTTGAATGAAAGCGAGTTAATCGCAAGATTCTCCTCCCAACCCAGCACTGGAATTGTTCTAATTCCTCCAAGAGAGCATCTGTAACGTACCAACTCTCAGACCCAAACAGCAGCACTGGCATAACACACGTTTCAACGACTGAACGAGATGATAGTGGATTCAGATGACCATGAAAGACCCCAATACATCCAAAAGCGAAAAATGCACTGCGAGCACTATTGATGTTTCTGTAATGGCCTTTGCGCTGGGGAAAGATCCTGGGTCCACCATGTCCCCAGGCACTTGGCAGCTTTGGACTGTTTCAAGGACACATGACCGACATCTACGGAGATGGAATTTGATCGTACCCCATGTGTGTACAACCAGCTCGCATTTATTGGTGTTCAGCTGCAGGAAATTCTCAGCCAAAATTCATTGATGATCTGTGCCTGCTGCCTGCTGGACTGAGGGTCACATGTCAGGCTACGAAGATCATCGGCATGAGCAAGGGAGCCCATATAAATGCCCTCCACGCTCACCCCTGCGTTAGCCTCTTTCAGTCGTTGCAGCAAGCCATCCATCAGCAGCAGGAAGAGGCAGGGGGAGAGAACCGACCCCTGTTTCATCCCACGTTCTGTAATGAACTCATGTGAGAGATAACCATTCACTTTTACACAGGCCGTGGGTGGGTCGTAGTAGCCTTTTATGATCCTCCAGCACTTCCTGTGTACCCCTCTAGAGTAGAGATGCTTCAGGAGGATGGCGTACTCCACGCTATCAAATGCCTTCTCTAGATCGTAAAAGGTCTGCAAAACAGTGTTCCCGTTTCGCGTAAGATGGCTAAGCGATTCAAACACTGCAAAGGTGGCATCCTCGCAAGACATGCCCTGCTGATATGCTGTTTGTTGAATAAGGGGGAAACCTCGGGTTTTAAGTTCCGGCAACATCCGTGAAAACGTGAGAGATTCGAACAGCTTACTGATTACGTTGGATACTCCTATTCCCCTGTAACTATTAGGGTCAAGGGGATCTCTTCCTTTTCCTTTGTAGATGGGGATGATGTTTACAGCTTTAAAGGATGGTGGAACATTCTCTAGCTGTAGGATTCCATTGAAGATTTGTGTAATCCAAGTTACAAGCATGCTGCCACCGAACTTCAAATGCTCACCAGAAATCCCGTCTGGGCCAGCAGCTTTCCTATTTGGTAGGTGTTTAATGGAATTTTCCACCTCCTCAACCTCAAACTCTATGTCAAGAATGTTGTCCTCATTGTTGTGCGACTGGCGAGTCATTTGCATCAATCCCTCTTCCAGGTCCTGGGCGATAGCAGCATCTGTGATCTTAGATTTGCCAAGTGAGCAGAAATTATTTTCCCAGGCCTGTAAAAGCTCTGTTCGTTCGGTAATAGAGGAATCATTAACACCAAGCTTTGAACAGAGTGGTGTACTTTTGGGCCTTGCAAAGCGATGTGGACGGCAGTTTCGGAAGCTCTGGTCAATACGTTGAATCCTCCTCCTCTCCCCAATTGCCTGTAGGGTATTGATATGGCAACGAACTTCCCTCTTCATCCGCCTCTTCGGCGCGCATGCGCAGCGACGGTTACATACGGTAGTCGTTCTGTCGTGTGTCCGTCTGTCCGTCTGTCCGCGCGAGTTCTAGCACTACAGGCTACGAGGCGGCCAATGAGTGGCACAAACGGGTTGTGAACGACTAGAAGATTGATATTAATGTGGCGATTTTCCCGAAACGACTGCGTTCCAGAGATATGAAAACAAGCGATATAGCTTATATACGCGAGCGATTCATCGCGCACGCGCGTCGGAGCATCAGACGCGAGCGATCCATCGCGCACGCGCGTATGTCGTTTGCCGGAGCATGCGCATCTGCGCGTTGTTATCTTGGACGAGCAAGCCGGTGAGTTTCTCTCCTCAGTCATTGTTGATCTCTGTTCTCTTGACCTTGGACGAGCAAGCGGTTTTCTCCTCAGTCATTGTTGATCTCTGTTCTCGATGGACAACAAATTGAGCAAGGTAGCTATGTCCGCAATGTTCATAATCGTACTGGGCTTACCGCGACCTGATCCGCTCGCTCTGTGTACCTTTGGGGCTCAGAAAGTCACAACGAATGGCATGTATCGACTCCCGCATGCTATGACTACTACTGTAGCTAGCCCGTGTCAGACTCGCGACGTGAGCAATAAATATCGCAGTTCGCCGAGGGTTTGCACTTTAGTGCTTTTAGTAAGGGGGTGGTTTAATACAGGGAGCGGTTAATATACGACTCAGCTCCACTTCTAAGACGAAGCTGCTTCACCTTTGAAAGTGGAGCTGAGTAAAAGAGCCTTTTCTTTATTGGCCTCCTGCTCAGTTTATTCTTTACCAGTAGCAAATTACATTTCAGGCAATAAGCAAGTGCCGGGATGAAGAGTTGGAACACAGAGATGTTGGACTGGAGCAGAATGCTCAGCTTGTAAGGAATATATTATAGTAAAGTGTGTTTGTCACTATCCTGACTACATTCTGTGACAGGCCCCAGGGTACGAGGCTATGTCAGAGGTGATCAAGGCTGGCTGCCGAACTGCCATATGGATATCTGAGAGACTTTAGCTCTGTACATCATCTAACTGAAATTGCACACATGTCAGGGAAAAGAGCAAACAATCGGCACACAGCAGATGGTCTAAAACACTACACTTGGACCATAATTACAGTCGAATCTCGGGCAACATTGTCTGTCCCTTGTAAAGATGTGCATTTATTGTCTTATGCGGAAAAAACAATGGTATGGTGGTCTATCACTGAATATAGTAGTTCCTTTTCGAGTTTCTTTAGTGAATGATATAAAGTGGGAGGACTAATAGAAGGTGAATACAACATTGACAAAATGCATTCACTACTCAAAATCTGAGTCTATCAGAGAGGGCATTAGCTAGCTGTTTCACATGCTTAGGAAACGAGTCATAACTGACATCACAACCACTGTGTTTTGCGACGATAGGCTTGTGTGGAGGAAGATTAAACGAGCAAGCAATAACAGTTTGACTATATATCATCCATTCTAATACTGCATCGTACACTAGGTCATCCCTATCTTGTCTCCTTGCCACTTTTTAACGCTGGGCGCGCATGCACAGCGAGGGTTACGGTACTTGTCGGTGTGTCTGTGTGTCTGTGTGTCGTGTTCAAGATCGCCAATTCCAACGGCGACGGGGTTCGGCGCTACATTTTCTCAAACTGGCGATTTTCAAAAGTTATGGCGTGACAACTAAAATTACCACAGGCTTACCTCGACAAGATGTGCTTGCTCAGCGTACCTTGGAGGCTCAATTAGAAGTCTCAACGAGGGCGTGTATCGACTCCCGCATGCTTTCCACTACCGTAGCTAGACTTTACTAGCGCATACAACGAGCGCGCAAGCGCAGTTCGCCGCACTTCGCAGGGCTTTGCAATTATCAACTTGGTATAATTATACACAGTAGTATTACACATTCTTTTACAGACAACATGCTCTAAGAGACAACACACAATTAACTGCTAATAAAACTCACTTAGCTATACTACATAAAAACTGATACTGTACAATAACTCTACTCTTATTTTTTAACTGTATATACTTCTATAAAAATAAAAAAAGGAAGAAAAAAGACAGCTAACAGTATTCTAATTATAAAAAGTGTTAGAGCTTAATAAGCTGCTGTGTGTGGTGTTGACTAGTGCTGCCTCTGTTGAGCCTGGAAATGCATGATGTGCTTCCAGGTAGCAGCAGTTTGAGCCAGGGTGATGTCATCAGGGAGCTCATCAAGATCTGATAATGGATCCAGGTTGCTGGCCTCGAGATGAGGGGGTAGAACGTCCAGTAAACTGTAATAATAACAGAACCACTTATTAACCCTCGGCTTATTAACCGCGAGGGTTACTGTAGTTGTGTGTCGGCCTGTTACTCTAATCTCACTTCTCGAGCGTTTGTTCGTCTCACAAACGATACGACCTACTCAACGGGCAGTAAAAGTCAGATATTTTGTGCGATTTTCTCTGAAAATGCTCAGTTGCAAAGCTAGAGCGCTTCAATCATTGCCATATTTATCGCTGCGGAAAATGCGCATGCGGTTATTATGCTAATTAGACCGGGCTCGCTTTGTTCTGTGTATCTTGTAGGCACAAGAAGTCACAACGAAGGGCGTGTATCGACTCCCGCATACTATCTACTACTGTAGCTAGCCCGTGTCAGACTCTCCGCGAGTTATATATACTAGCGGGAGACCACCACAGGTAATAGCCCAGCCCATCAATTAGCAGTACCGCGCATGCGCAGTTCGCCGAGGGTTTGCACTGTAGTATCAATTGTACAAGGGACACCTTAGACAGAAGCTGCGACTATGCGGAGACTACACTTCCTTATCACAACCTACAAACCTTAAAGTGATGTTTAAACATTCATTTTTACTGTTGCATTGTAACATATTTTGCGCTTCACCACGTGCGACAAGCTTGGTCCAGTACTACACTTGTTTTAATTCCAAAAGGGTGTTTTTTAAAACGTCAAAAAGCCAATATGGAAGTTAGGCTTACCTTGACCGGATCTGCTTGCTTTGCAAGAGGTATATTAGTATATTAGAGGGCAAGCACTGAGTTCCGCCACGCACTGAGTTCCGCGTACTATTGGTTTAGCTAGCAAGTGTTGGACATTCAGCAAACTAAATTGATAATGTAGCCCAGCCTGACTTGCACATGCACAGTATACCCACACATGCGCGTTTGTAGCATGCCGAAGGTTTGAGCTGGTAATATTGGTGTCCAATAATATTTTCTGTTGGAGCGTGTTTACTGTTAACACACACCACCAACTAGGATTGCAAATGAATGCAACGCATTGTTTGGCGAGCGAGCGCGAGCATTTGCAGGCAGTTAAATATTTCATGCATGTTTTGCGCATCACACAGTGCGAGTAGTTGAATATTTCGCGCATTGTGTGTGTATTTAGAATCACGTACAACATTATGGTATCTGCAGTGCCCATGTGCCTGTCACATTATATTCCCCCCTTGAAACGACTATGAAGGCTTCCTTAGCTCGCTAAAATTATATCCAGCAACACACAAGGCTCTTTCGAGGTTCCTTCTCTTAGTTTGCATTGCTCATGGTAATTAACCCTCGGCGTGCATGCGCAGCGAGGGTTACTGTAGTCATTCTGTCGGTCTGTCCATCTGTCTGTCCGTCTGTCCGCGCGAGTTCTCGCACTACAGGCTACGAGGCGGCCAATGAGTGGCACCAACGGGTTGTGAACAACGAGAAGATGGATATTAATGTGGCGACTTTCCTGAAACGACTGCGTTCCAGAGATATGGCTTGAAAACAAGCGAATAAGCCAACGTGCGATCGATCGCGCACGCGCCCTCTCCAGCAGGCTATATAGGGCGCACGCGTCATGTCAATTATTCGCCTGTGCATGCGCTACGCCACGTTGGTGGTATATTATGTGGGTGTGTGGACCATGTAACAGAGACACTGTACATTGGGATACGATCCACGGGCTTCTGTCAGTTTCGATCTCTGTTCACTTTGTTTATGCTGAGCAAGGTATGTTCGCAATGTAGCATAATAGTTCAGTTGGCGAGCAGTTTGTGGCTGCGGCCTAGTCTTCCCATCTATGAAACGTCTGGCGAGAGCATTGAAACACAGAAGAGCGAATAAAGCAAATATGAGACCCTCTGAAAAACCTGAGCCATTTCTCTAACCGCTAATGCAACTAGCTACCCTGTGTTACGGCGAGACTCGTGTTACTGGCTCAGTCGATGACGCACGGCCCAGCATACAGCGATGCTACAACTCGCGCGTTTAGCGCCGAGGGTTTGCACTTTAGTGCTTTTCATTAACTATCTGCAACAGGCCTGAGAACAAGGCTATTTGCTCTGTGTGTTGCCTGTCACAGAAGCTAAAAGGTAAGGCATAGTAACGCTCTAATGAAAAACATGCCGTGAGTGTTGGTTGATTTACAATAAGTAGGTTCTGTTTCACAGTCCGTGTGGTTCTAAATCTTTTACAGTAATGAAGCCTGAACGTGTTAGTGCACTAATAAGCTGATACTTCTATAGCTGACAACATGGGCTGGTACTCTCTGAGACATTAGCACAGTGTTTAAGCTAATCTCACCCCCGCTTCTTGTTCCTCAAGTCAATGTGTCTGATGAAGGTCTCAATGAACTCATACAGTGTCCCCAGAAGAGCTGACAAGTCAACCTTAGGAAGAGCTTTGTCCAGATGTCGGCACTGGCACTCTGTTAGTGGCTCTAGCAGCTCATGGTTCAGAGTATGGAATGGTTCCTTGAATGGCAGTAGAGTTTGTTACAAGATACAATGTGTATTACTGTTACGTACATACGTACCTGGCCATTCAAGGTGATGTCTCGGGCGAGGCCAACTGACAAGGTCTGCCATAGGGATATGATATGCTCCAGGTTACATTGCTCTTTAGCCTGCAAAACACCATTGCTATCTTTCTTGGGAATCAGAGGTAACTAACCTACACCTTAAGTACTGGGGGAAATGAATGGAGCCATAAACATTGCACACTGCCAGAGGACATGTTTGCAGCCAAAAGCACTGTAAAACACTTGTACAAACCTTGACAGAGTTTTTAAGCAGAGACAAACTCCGTGTTTGAATAATCATAGCGGCACAAGTTAACCCACAAAGTAGTTTCTGACACACTCACCCTTTGCAGCCTCCATTGAAGGAGTGGGCAAACTTTGTCAATGATATGCGGAAAAGCCGTTGCTTGACAACAATGCTTGTGAGCAACTATACGCCGCCGCGATCACTTCCTCACTCAAATTCAGCATCAAACAGATGCTCTCTTGACAAAACTGGAGCTAGGCACACCACATTCTCGCGAATGCAGCTTTTAACACCTGCACTCAGTTATTTACATCTAAACTGTGGCTGATGGAACCAACCTCAAACAGTTCCCTGTTCTTAATTTAGTTATTTGGGGGATCAGTGGCCTGGGGGGGCATCGGAAGGCCGTGAACCAAGCCTTCACCGAACTTCTTTATAAGGCCCGTGGCCTCTTCCGAATAGCTAGCCCCGCGGGCTCCTGGTTCTATCACTATAGAGAGCCGTGCCCTCTTCTGGCATCGAGCGGGAGCCGATGTCTTCACCTGACATTCTAAGTAATTATGTATGGACACTGCCTTTGGCCCATGTGAACCATAAGCTTGTGAGGGGGGGGGGGGGTGGCTTGAAGTTTGCCCAGTGTGCTCCCGTGCGTGTGCAGACTGGTGTGCAGACTGGCCTTCCTCGGTAGAGCTTACCCCTTTTCAGGCTGCAGCACCTGAGCCCCACCCTTCTTTGTTCATGTGTTAAAACTAGTGACAACCCATCCAACCCAACCTTGAAAGCAGTTAGTCAACCATCGCGTTGCTAACTCCACTAAAAAGCCTGGTTACTGATAGTGCTTACAACCGTAAGAAGTTGTGTGCTACCACTGTGGCCATGAGGGACGTTTGCACATGAAGTTTCTAGGTAACCACATTGAGTCTTCAAAGGATGGTAGAAGGCCTTCAAAGATTCATTTGGAGTTTATATGCCTGAATTTGTGTAATATTCTACCACAAGGCAGGATAGCAATTCCTTTTCTGACTTATAAGACAATTTTCCGTACCTAATTAGTGTTTGTGTAGGCTTCCACTACTTACACACATGCTACAGTAGGCATTCAGTCTATATACCTTTTCACTGAAAGACATCTTTTCCATTTTTAATTTCCTAAGGTAGGAGGTGAGCTTAGTTTTTGAGCTCCCTCCACCTGAGGTCAAAAACCCAAGCACTATCTCCACAACATCCAGCGATTTCCACAGTTTGTCAGGAGACCCCAGCTCTCGTAAGATGTCCAGCTGCACTCTCTGCTGCAGGTCCCTCTGCAAGTAAAAATTAAGTTATAAATAATATACACAGTCAACAGGGTAACTAGGTCCTGTAGCTGTGCTACACCATTGCAATACAGTGGGAACCCCTCTCTAAGGTCACCCCTCATGAAATAATGCCTCTCTGAACAAATTATTCTCTGAAACAAGGTCACAAAAAGTCAGAAGAGAGTGCCCGATATTAATTACATAGATGTCCTGTTCTGGAGGAAAGAAGGTGCCCTATGTTCTCATATTTTTAAGGGTGTGTTTTTAAAATGTGCCACTTAGGAAGGGGTGAAGTTACTTTGGGGATGTGTATAGCACAAATAAAAGGGTGAAGTGGATGAACAGAGATGACCCAACTTTAAGAGCAGGCAAAGACTGTGTCATTCTAAAGGCTACAAAATTGCAGCATAACTTCTTATCAAAACCCCAAGATGCTGCGGTAATAAAGGTCTTCCTCTGGCAATTTGTTTAGACAGTGCATTATAGGGTGTTAGTGCCAAGTTGCCTGAAACTGGTAAATATGCGACACCTTTATAATTGCCACCAATTTGGAAAGGTCCTTTTGCCTAATGACTAAAGCTGTCGAAAACTTTTTACTTCTAACAGAACATGTCCTATAATATCATAAGGCATTTGTAGCACAGCAGTACCATAGTGCGTAACTTTAGGCTTACACTCCTTTTTAGTGTGTAATCATGCAGTTTCTCCATGTGTAAAACGATTATGTATAGGTATAGTTATGCAAAGCGTTACATTAAACAAGCAGCTCTCATATAGAAGGGGGGTGGTCGCTTCTGAAATGGTGACCAGACAAGGTGGTCAGTAGCATATAAAATATGAAGAATACAGAATGCCGTGCAAAATCGAGAAAAATCACAGTAATGACAAACTGCTTCTGCTCAAAAATGGTACTTGGCATCCTACCATCCAGATAGACACAATGAACATTCAGGGAGTGATGATCGAACAAGGAGCTCCCACTCAGTAACCTCAGTATGACATAAACTACGGCCCCAGAGTATATACTTCACAATAGAGCGCCCCATAGTTGTCTGTGTACATTTTTAGCCCCGTGTAATAGCTAGATTATGCCCCTGGTAGCTCCCGTCTTATGAAGGCCCGATTCAGAAGTTTAAAGTGTGTGATGTCTCAACATGAATTTAAAAAAGTAGGCACAGCGACACATTCAACAGTAAGAATACCTGTCGTGCCACTTTTTTCCTCACAGCTGCAAATGCGGCTGCAGTGTAGATGTCTTCCTGGTACCTCACATTAGGGATGTCAACAACTATGGTAGGTTTCCCATGGATGAAGCGGTCCACGATACACTTCTCCAGAGCTGGGAGGTCATAGGAGACCTCTCGACCCTCCCCCACATGGAGGGAGTAGTGGCAGTGGGAGAGAAGGATGGACTGGAGCTGGCTCTGGTAGTCCAAAAGGTGGCACTTGTGGATGTGGTCCAGCTGTATCTTGTGCTCCCTCCATGAACTGAAATAGCTCACCTAAGAAGAGAACTACTGACTACAAATGTAACATACCTGGTGTTGCTAATGGCTTGACACCAGGCAATGAAGTTGTTGTGAACATAGCAGAGGTAGTGGACCAGGGAAAATGTGCAAGCTCCAGGACCAGTGGTAGTGGGAATGAAGTATTCCAGAGGTGTGCTTAGGCCCAGCTCCACCTTAAGATAAGTATCCTTCACCTTCAAGTGGCCTGCATAGAAAAAACAAAGAACATATTTTTGTGTCTATCTATGGTCGGCTTTCAATCACCATGGTGCACTAGTTTCTCTCTGACAAGGGCCCAGGCATATTGTATGTTGGAAACAATTTCCTGATACTCATTCTGCAATGTCTCTGTAGCACATCAACAGTTAATACATAAAATGCATAAAAAGTACTAAATACATACCAGTGTGTTTGGTGTGAATAAAATCACACATAGTCATGTTGTGAGCTACTTTGTGCTTAATCCGGTGGTGAAATTCATCGTGTAATTCCCTTTGCAGTCTCACAATGTCTGGAATACACTGAGCAGCTTTTAGTATTGACTCCTACAGTATGCAGATGACATACCGTGGATTATTACTACATTCTAGGTGATCGTGTATGTAGTAAAGGTAGCTATATACAAAATATTAGAAGCCGGACCTTGTTCTGTTCAATTCAACTGTTTTAGGTGTGAATTTAGGGTATTTAGGTGCAGCTTAGGCAGTGCTGATTCTTGCTTTGTATGTGAGGCAGACTACCAGATGAAGGAAAGGTATCAGTGTCCTTGATAGATGCAGATGCAGGCTTGTTCTAAAATAAATGTTATTCTTACATTTTTAAGGAACTCTTTAAGGATAGGAAATGTTTTCTTCTGCAGTTCCATGTATTGGCAAAAGTTCTCCAGAGAGATTTGAGGTTCGTATCTCCAGAGATGAGCATCTACACTATCCTCCATTGTACATGTATGGTAATGGTATACCAGATCATAGAGGGGGTTGTGCTCTGTATGTGTATGAAAAGAGAATTTTTTTCAGTTAGGAATCAAGGACAAAGATATCCATGCCTTGTGTTTCATCGTCCAGGAATTTTGTCATTGTAGAGCTTAACTCAGACTCCAACATCTACACAAAAGAGATCATCCTCATGCCATGAAAAATGAGTGTTACCTGAAGAATAGGTTTAATGTACAGCCTATTAAACTGCTTTTCCCACTGATTGCGGACATCTCTTGTCCCAAGAGTCCTCAGAAGATAAGTAGAACTAGGAGGGGTGATGTTGACTATGTTCCTCAGAACAAGATGAACCACAATGGCAGCATCCTCGGGGTTCCTGCCGAGAGCTGTGGCCAGGAGCTGCACATCTCTCTCCAGGTGACCCCAGAAGAACTCAGGGAGCTCCTGTGGACTGGTCAGACCTGACTTGACCAGTGCCACCAGTCCTCCAGTGGCACTGTCGTCATTGCAGCTGACCCACACCAGAGCACAGTGCATTATAGCTCTGATAATACAGCAGGCAGCAGGTGAGAGAGAACGCTCTGGAGATGGAATATTGCTACGTGTTGTGGGATGGCCAAGAGAGTAGCCAGTGTGAGTCTCACAAGATCTGTCATAAAATACTTAAAAATCACCACTGGTTTTAAACAAAAGTAATCTACGTTTCAGCAGCTGGAACTATTAAAAGGTTTTCCCCACCAATCACAGAGCCACAGGTAACACAGTTTGTCTGTTCCCTTCCTTGGCCACACTGCAGAATGTTGTAAATAAAATCCTGGCAAATAAAACGGTTATGTTCACTAACCTCCCCAACAAAATATGGATGGCGATTAGGACATTCTGAATATAAAGGTCAGTTATACATAAATATTATTAACGTTAACACGGTGTATTCACTAACCAAAAAAATTTCCACAAGAAGGAACATTTCTGGCCTCTGAAATGCGGTCATCAATTATGGTTGGCAAGTAACATTGCTGAAATCATTTACACAATTACTATCAACCATGCTCATGGACTGTCATATCACCAACTCACGGCCATATCCCCAGGAGCATTAAACAGAGTAACCAGAGGATGAAGGATGTCAAGACTGCTCCTACTGATGAGCACTGCCACTGCATGCACTACTAGTGCTCCCAGTGTCTGCTGGAACATGGGCTGATTAGCAGTGACTTGCAGGGCTGCAAGAGGACCCCCTTGAGCATTGCAAACCAGTCTTCTAGCCACATCTTTCATCTGCACAAAGTTTGAAAAGTGAAATGTAGAGGGTACTGCAAACTCAGAAAAGATTACACGTTAGTTAGACACATTTGTGACATGTGCAATCGGTAAGGTACCTATACTCCTATTCTGACTGTGGCACATAATTCATGCAACTTAGAAAGGCCTCAACTTTAGTCTTCTTCCATGGCCAGCCCCTCTTACTTTTCTGTTGGGCAAACTCTTAGGCTTCTTCTCTCGAGCAAAGATTAGGTTAAGATTATTTGGGCCAATAGAAGCAGATATGCATCCAAAGGAACAATATTATGCAAGTTCGTTCAACGCGGGCAAAAAGCAAGTCACTCGTTCTTAGTATTACTTGTGCTATCACTTTTTCATTGGACTACATTGTTGTGCCGCAACAGTAGGAAGACTCTATAACGGCTGTTTGTCACTACACAATTAAGATACACTTACTGTAGAAACCAAACGATGGCAGTAGTATTGCTACCAGCTGACTCGTGGCCAATATTAATGGATGTTAGATAATAACTCCATTATAAACTAGGAATGCACACGCGCATATTGTGCTTCGCGCCTGCCAGCCAATGTGTAAACAGTCCGACTGAGGCCATTCGTGCACGCGCTCTACTGACTGCGCGCGAAGCCAGACTTTTCCTACGAATCTGCGCGCACAGCGGAAGCTAGACTTCCTACAAATGACGGAAGTTGACATTCCATGAGCATGACTAGTTGACATTCTTAAGCGTGACGACACGTACGTACGAATATCGCGAGAATACAACCCGGAGTAGTTGCCTCACGCTAACGCGCTCGGCAATGATTGATTTAGAGGTTTTGGGTTGCACTAGATGGATACCTTGTTGTTAAGAGCCGGGCAGTTCTTGATGACGTCATTCATTTTTTGACTTGTCTTGAAGAAGAAAAACATGAACTTAAAAAAACAGCAAAATTCTCTATCACCTCTGGAAGTAACTGCCTAGTGATGTCAGTTGAGGCCTTGCTCATAGTATAGACCTCATACACACTCAGCAGAAGGAAGAAACACTCCTGAGGCTTAAGGGTCTGTTCATCAAAAACAATTATAATCGTAAGAGACATTATGCTAGTTATGTAAGTCATACGTACTGTAGTGAGCTCCTCCAGGGTTACGTAGTCTCTGTTATGTGACGCAGCACTTATCACATCCCTCATTTTAGCATAGACTGGGTTGTAGATCACAAATGGGTCCATAGTCTTATGTTTCTGTGTGCCATGTTAAATACAAGAATGATATTGTTGGTGATAAAACAACCTTATGCAACATTTCAGCGAGGTTTGTGTTATGGACAGCATTGTCTGCCAGTGAGAGAAAACATCACTCTCCTACCACCAAAAACAGTTATTTCCAATCCCTAAAAAGTATACATCACTTGTCTGTCCCATTGGGGAGGGGTTCCACGTTTACAAACAGGAAAAAATGGTGGGCTCACTGCACTCGCTACATTTTCCTAAGAGAGTTATTTTACCTCATCTTCGATTGGGACTATCCACTGCAACTGTGGATCACTAAAAATATTCTTTAGGGCTGAGAAGCCTCCCTGATACACAAGCAGAGTCAGCAGGTACAGCATGGGACCTCTTGCAACGGTGTTGATCTGGCTCATGGTACATGTATACCTGGTCAAATAACATCAATTAATACACAAAGAAAAAACAGAATGGTTTCATACCTGCATTCCTCTAACAGTCTGTGTACCATATGGCCATAATCGTGTCTTTTTGAATGTAGCTGCAGAACATCTGCCACCACACCGAGACAGTAGCGTATCCTGGCAACACTCTCTAGCAAATCCAAGGAGATAGTGTGCTCTGTGGAACTAGCTGAATGCACCAAGGTGTCTCTTCCTGACGTCAGCAGTTTTTCTTTAAGAATGACCTCCACTTTACCCTTCAAAGATTGTCCACAACATTTTTTCCCAATAGCATTCTGAGTGAATAACCACAATATAATAATATGCACATGACTCAACAGTTACTAATAACCTCGAAGCACCAGGTAAAAAGTAGACTTAGCTCTTGGTCCACCTTCATACTTCCAGGAAGGACCTGCTTGCATCTGCTATAGTAGGTCATCACATTACGTTTCATGCTCTCGGTGCTGCCGGAAAAACAAAGGTGTCAAGTTCAAGTTACTACAGTAGCTTTAATTTGGCTTGTGCCAGTATTGTTATTGCAATTGGGAATAGAGCTAAATTTCTCTCATGCAAATCAAACACCCCAGGGAATGTTATGTACCATGCTATAGCAAGCATGCACAGGAGGGGCCGAAATACGTAGCTCTCTGTGTGTTTTTCTGTCTAAGCGTTTCCATTGTGTCTATCTGTGTTCTTTCTCTCTCAAGGCAAAATCATTGGTTTGTATGCTATGTGGCTGGCTCATGTATTATGTGAAAGGCTAGCAGACAAAGACACCCTAATGCAGAGCAATCAGTAATGACGTAGCTGAGTTGGCACTTGTTTGGAGCTATAACTGATTATAACATATGCAACGCCAACTTACATACTAGTACGCACTTGCGTCACCTTTGGATATGGTACATAGGGACAGCACACACCAGAAATGTGCGTTTATCGGCACACCTCTCAGTGTGTAGCGTACTACTCAGTAGTGCCTAAACGTTTATGATCTATGCCTGCACTTATGCTCTGTGAAATTGCCACATACGTATGTTCCAAGAGCAGTTGCAGCAGGAAGGAACGTATGATTGGTGTTTCATCTTTAACATCCTCTAATAGTGTGAAATCTGGTTCAGCACGTTCTGCTATCTCCTTATCCGTGGGGAACACAATATCCAGTAGCATCAACACCAACTTATCTTCGGGAGTACTCGACTGTCCAAAACACAGCCTGGACACCACCTCAGTGAATAGGTTGGTGCTATTCTTCTTAAACTTATCCCTTTCTTTGGGTCTACCTTATTACTGTAGAGGAAAGTGCAAATGATGATTATGGAAGGCCCTAATTGAAACTTACTTCTTCAAAATGTTGTTAAGTGTTTGCTTGAGTGTTTTAATTGGTGAACATGTGAGGAAATCAGGGTTGTTGCCCAAAGTCTACACAAACGCAAAGATAAAGATATTGTTGGCAAGTTAGAAATGACGAAATATTGGTTTATTATCATTACTTCCACGAAACTATTATCTCTGAGTATAATGCTAGCAAGTCACATAGAAACTATAAAGAGCTATAAAGAAGGCTGTGAGGGGAGTTGTACTGTGTTAGGATATATACAATACAGCCATAGTTTAAAAACCTATATCAGATCGGTCAAATAGGTCTTCCTGTTAGGATGAGGAGGAAGGGACACTAAGTAGATGGAGGAATACTAACGAGGAACCATGTTATATAGTGCAAACTGAACCAAACCATAGCTGGGTTTTCATTCTTACCACAAGTATACATTCAGTCCTTACCAAGTACAGCCTTTTGGCAAAAGGAATCAGGTTAGGATGTTCCAAGAGAATATGCTCTGTGAAAAGCTGAAAAGTTCGGACCCTCTGCCATTTTAGTCTGTGAGGGAATATAGCTCAATTGTTATGTATAATACTAATGTTGCATCACACCTTAATGAAAGAGCAATCTCGTGCTGACTGGGAATACAGAGGGTGGACTCAATAGCATGGCGAATTTTTCTCACGCTACTCAACCATACTCCAAGAGATTTTTCATCAGAAAACAGAGACACCCTCTTCCCCTCTAATGGAGGGTCAAGTTTATTAAGAATTTTTCTCACTGCAAACAGGTGAAGCATCTATGACCAGAAGAGAAGCAATACATAGTTTTAAAGGTATGCATGTACGCATGGTTCTACCATGCTGTCTTTTTGGTCGGTTGTCTGTTCAACCAGGCTTTCCAGGATCCCAGGACGGTGGGATGTCAGCTGACCAAACCAGTGGATACAGTCACAACATTCTCTGTACACCACATGTACTGCTGCAATCTGACCAACCAGTGACATGGTTTCCCCATCAGTTGTGTTGGTGACTAAGATGTGGAGACTGTCTTGTATTAACTATAGAGTAGAGAATCCATATGAAAGTGTGTTAAAATGCATATTATGTCTTTAGTACACCTTGTACTCGACTTTTATATTCTCCTTCATCTTGTGAGTACATTTGTGCACACTGTGGACAAAATCATGAAGGTAGCGTCTGTAAAGCTCCTCGCACTGCTTCTCATCATTGATACTCAGTAGGACACATCCTACAGGTGTATCTGACACAAGAGCACAG